CGGTTTAACCACAGCCAAACACACGGGCCAGTATAAGCTGTTATCGTCGGTTTAACCACAGCCAAACACACGGGCCAGTATAAGCTGTTATCGTCTGTCTAACCACATCCAAATAGGTGGGTATCCGCTACTCAGCACATGACCCGCCAGACCCAGTACTCTGAGGCTACTGGGAAATCCACAATTATATCATCACTTTTCACTTAATATTGAATTTGATTAAGTTAACTCCCCTCAAATGGTCAGCAACATACAGCAGTTTAGTTATTTTAGACTCGCGCCTAGTGGAAAAGTTGGAGGGAATTTGGGCTAAAATAAAAATAAGCTTATCTATCTCGGGTTACGCTCGGTAGGCAGGGATCTAACGTTTGGCTAACCGCGCTGGACGGCTAACTTAGGGAGTTCATTAGTAAAAGCAGCCGTAAAAGGTTAACTGCGTTTCAATCGTGAACATAGTTAATCTTCTTTTAATGAACTGAAAAGGTAATTACTTTCCCCGCAGTAGTTTCCTCCTTTCTCATCCGGCAATATTGCGGCCATCGCTGTTAAACGGAGTCCTCGGTAATAGTGGCCAAATCTATATCTAGTAGTATTAAACAATATTTTGATAGAGCGACATGTTGCTTTCGCCTGTCGCGTTAACCTGGTGCGATACAGTCACGTGCCAAACCGGGCCACGCCCAGCACTGGCTGCTGGTTCATTATATCACTGTATCTGCACATCCTTACTTTTTATTCCGTCCGTAACATAACATTTCCACAACAGCCATTGCCCCCTCCCCGTGCCATAAAACCTCGTTTTGTATAAATAAGAAAATCAAACGTTTTGAAGCACTATTCCTACAGGTATAGCTGTAGTCTTAAGTTACATGCATAATTAGTTTTGTAAGTGAATAAAGGATATAAAATTCGCATCCATGCGCATTTTATATGTGAAAAGTAACTCTATCTGCCAAGAGGGAAATAAACGTCCTTTTTGAAATTTTTAAATAATTATTTTGAATGAATCATTCAGATGCAACAGAGGTTGTAATTCAATTCACTTAATCAGATGGAAATATTGAAGTGATCGTAGGTGCACCATAATCAAAGGATGACATTTTATCTCCGCACTCAACCTGCAAGATGACATAATTTGGTTGAGTCAGTCACAGGGGCGTCGCTGTGGTCATTTTAGGGGCACTTTAGCCCCCCCCCAAGTAAATGTGCACTAATTAGGTTAAATAATGTGTTCTCGTTCTTTTTCATGTCGATATGTTTTAAAATGATTTCCTTTTATTCTATCTTTAACCCAGCATGCAAACCAATCAACTTGTTGTCTGCTGCAGTGTAAAGGGCAAGTGTTTACATATTCTGTAATCTGCAGAAAGACCTTCTTGAAATAAATTATTCAATGTGTAGCCTATCTATTTACCTAAATATTCTAGTAAGCACACTTTCATCAGACTTGGTTTTGTCATATCTCCTTTTCCAAAAAGATATTTATGTAATACATCATTAAAATGTTTTTTTTTTT